CCACTTCCCCCCCCACCACGTTCCCCCCCTATCATCATCATCATCATTCATCATCATCATCATCATAGATAGGATCGCTTCGCCCTCGAGTTACGCATCTATCCCTTCATTATTATTTTCTTCTAACATCCATTTTGAAACGTTTCATCTCGACATTTTTTATGTTTCTCTCTCTCAAATATATAACTTTTTTTTTTTTTTTTTCTCTTTCGAAATTTTCGAAAATATCTAGGATAAGCATTCTCTCTCGACATTTCATCCTCAAAATTCGAAAATCAGTTTAATTAATTCTTTTTTTCGAAATTCTTCGAAAATTTCAGAATTAATTAACTTCTTTTTCAACATTTCTTTTCATAATTTGAAAACATTCCTAATTCTTTTTCGGAATTTTTGTAATTTGGAAAACATTTTAGAATAAGTCAAACTCTTTCCTTTTCGTAACTCGAAACACGTTAGAATTTTCTTTTTCTTTCTCGACATTTCTTTGAAATTCGAAACTACTTGCAATTCATTCGTTTTTCTATTCGAAAATTTTGAAAGTACGTTAAAATTAATTAAATTCTTTTTTCTTTTTTCGATATTTTCTTTTGAATATTCAAAAATAATTCAAATTAATTCTTTTTCCCAGTATTTTAAATTCACAATTTCTTTTCGCATTTTTTGTTGAAATTCGAAACTCTTTCTTTTTTACAAATCGGAAGTACTTTTCTTTTAGATGTTATTCTAAACCCTGCAATTAATTTCGACTAAATTCAATTTTAATTATCCTTTTTTTCTTGCCAAATATTTTAAAAATTCCCTCTTCCGAATTCTTTTCAGAATCTTTTTTTTTTCTTTTTTCTTTTTTCTCTCCGTAATTCGAAAATATTTTCTTTCGAAATTTCACGTTTTCTTGAAAATAAATTTAAATCAGAATTTATTCTATTTATTTATTATTATTATTATTATTATTATTATTATTATTATTATTTTGAAAAATCTTGGCGATTATCTTTATTTTTGAATAAATAAGGGATTCCCCCCCCCCACCCTCCACATGCCACCACGCCAAACCAAGAACTCCCAACGTGCTGCC